TGAAAGTTAGATAAAAAATGTTTAAGTTAGATAATTAAGTATTGTGAATCTGTCTTTTCAATTTTAAATTATCAGTGAAAACTCATAGGCTTGTGTAAGACTTATTATTTTTATTCTACATGTATCATAATAAGCTGTATGTTTTCCTAATAAAGAAAATAAATAAAATTTAAAAAAAAAGTGTGTCGTTACGAGGCTACTACGACTTTAAAAGAAAATATGTAATTCAAAGATCTGCCAAAACAGCGGCTTTCAGTGTTATCATCACAGAATAATAATAATGTATTACTTAGCTACCTATCTTAGGCTATTTTTATTGCAAAATTTCAAGTAGGTAATTAGAATTGTAATTGAACGCAGGTCAAAGGACGAAAACAGTAATTTAGTAATTACGTAATACGTCACGTTGTATTTCTGTGAGTTTTTAACGCACGGTGGATCGAGCCCATACAAGGTGTTGGACATGGTGCTTTAAATGCAACTACTTAAAACAAGACTGATTTGCATATAAGTTGAAAGATGAGACTTCATTCTATCAAATATCATTAATATCAAGTCATGATCTACTATCATAGCTATGTGGTGCGACCGTAAAGTGAACAAAGTCAAAATCATGGATTTTCTGACTTCTGTTTGTATTGTCAATTTATCCAATTTCGTTAACTCGTTTTATGTTAGTACTTAATAATGTATTAGTTTATACCATTATCTTAATTTGTATGTTAAAATGAGTGCCTAAAAAACTTCTAGCTTGGCTATTTTGACGTATTTTTAAAAGGTATTTTTTGAAATGAAAACTGCGTATTTTAGTTGACATCTTGGGCAATCTTTAACAAACCATGAATGAGAGATGATAGATGACAATGTGGGCGATATTATTACTCAGTTTTTGGACCCTTATTCATCCCTATTTTCTAGAAAATAACAAAAAACCAAAAAAAAGCGCCTCAATTTTCCACAGAGCAAAATTCACTTTAGTCAAATTCGTTACACTAAAATAATGTCAGGTAAACCAAAGATGTTTAATTTGGTTTAAATGAGTTGTTTGTGATATATTATTTTAATTTAAAGGCTTTTAACGGGTTCGACATGATGTCAGTGAAGAACATAAAATATGGTTCGCGAAAGTTTTAAACATTACAAGAATTTTATTGTATGTCAATATTTTTATCGGTATACCCTCCTATAGATTTCCTTGTTCTTTGCCTCAGTAATTATTGTTTACAAATCAATTTCGTGTGCAATTCAGTTAAAATACTAATTAAAATGGAAAACCTCAAGACAAATAGTGATTTGTATGCATTATTAAAAACTACTATGAAAGATCGCGCTAGTTCTTTGGCTAGGATATTAGAGCTGTTTTCGCATACACTCTCTTCAGATAAACAGAGGTGAGTACTAACGTAGTTAATACTTTATGTACCTACATAAAGAAATACTATAAAACAGACATAGTAAAAAATCACATCATCACAAAAGATTGTCGTTGAATTTATTACACATACATTTCGTATGTAAATTTTTTTTAATTTATGATTGTGTTAGATAGGTACTGAGTTATACATTTTATTTTTCAGACAACTATCGAAAAAAATAAATAATTTCATTAACACTGTTTGTCGCAAGAAGAAGCAGTGAGAACCAGTTTTTAGCTACAAACGTAGATTGGCTTAGTCAATCTGTTGATTGGAGTCAGTTTTGTAGTCCGCCAAGTCCATCTAGTTTACCTTCTTCTTCAAGTACTACTCCACAGAAACATTCCTTTATTCGCATAATATCAGATTCTCAAAATATCAGATTCTTAAAATATTAGATTATCAAAATAGCAGAATCTCAATATAACCGACATTGGACACTCAACGTGAAAAATATATTTGTATTACCTATACAGGATGTCCAGAAAGTAGAGGTGAAGCCGAAATGATCATGTTGTCTACTTTAAATAAATATCAAGAATGCTTATTACTCGACTATTACGGCAAAGCAAAAGGAGGGTTATGATTTTGACAGGCTATGTATGTCTGTATGTATGTTCATCTGTTCCCTCGTAACTTCTAAACTACATTACAGAATTCGACGAATGACATTATCATTAAAGCGTCTTAATAAATTGTCCGCTGGTTTATAGGCTATTATGGGGTTTCACAAAATCTAATGTGGCGCCCTCTGGTGGACAAAACATACAGAGTACAGTAAAAAAATAAAGTTAAGATAAGTATGCCGTGTTTGGTATCATTTGAAAGCGCTTTACTTTTAAATCTATTGGGTTTTTTTTGTTTTCAATAAGTGTTTGTCTCATATTTAAAAATAAATATGATTTAAAAAATAAATGTTGTCTTGATTGTACTTTGGCTACATTGAGAATCTGCTATTTTGATAATCTGATATATTAAGAATCTGATATTTTGAGAATCTGATATTATGCGAATAAAGGGAAACATTTTTTAGAACTAAGTGATCGCCAGAAGAGACGTAGAACTGATTATTTAAAGAAATCTCCTCAAGAGCATATCGATTACTTAGCATCAAAAAATCTTATGGATTCCAATGCAAAGTTTATTTTTGATTTCATTCAAAACCATCCTGAGTATAATGAGGCAATCAAAAGTTTTTGTGAAAGTCTATTATCAAATGAAACTAAATCGATATGCAAGGATGATGCTCTTCGTCTGTACGTAAATAATGATCTTACAAAACAACAATATATTGACATTAGATCTACGGTAAATGAGATAGCTTCCGACTTATTACCTAGCTATTATCAAATACAGTTAGCAAAACAGGATTGTTATCCGCCCTCTGAATCAATAATTGTATCAGAGGTTCAGGTAAAAATTAGATTACAAGATATTCTAGACCTGACTGTTTCAAGAATATTGAAAATGACTAGTATTAACACTGAGGAGTCTCATAAATACACATTAATACTAAAATGGGGGTGTGATGGTGCTTCTTCTCAGGCTACTTATAAACACAGCTTCTCTGACCCTGGTTTTGATGACTCATCGGTGTTTATGTGCAGTTTTGTACCAATCAAATTGTATGATGTTGATACTGAATCTGTAATTTGGCAAAATCCAGCAACATCTTCATCGAGATATTGTAGGCCAATTCTTTTTAGATTCGAAAAAGAAAATGAAAGGTTAACAAAGGAGTGTTATAATGACATAAGGGAACAAATAACCAGTTTGGAGCCTTTTAAAATTAATAATAATAATACTGTTGATTATAAATTACATTTCACTATGGTTGATACGAAAATATGTAATGATTTGACTGATAATAAATCCGCCATGAAATGTTTTATTTGTGGAGCTAACCAACTTTCCATGAATAAGCTAGATTTAATTAATACAAAACCACCAAATGAAGAACACTTTGGGTATGGGGCATCATCACTCCATGCATGGATAAGAAGTTTTGAGTGTATACTACACATAGCTTACAATCTCCCATTTAAATCATGGTCAGTGAGAGGGGACGAAAACAAAAAAATTAAAGAAGAAAGAAAACAACAAATACAACAGGATTTTAGAAGAGAGTTGGGTTTGTTAGTCGATTTTGTTAAACAGGGCTCAGGAAAGACCAATGATGGGAATACGGCTCGTGCTTTTTTTACCAATTATAAGATAAGTGCCCGTATCACTGGCATTAATGAGCAACTTATAAAAAGGTTTTACATCATACTTCAAACCATATCTTCTGGATATGATGTAAAACATAGAATCATTTAAAAAATACACACAAGAGACCGCGGAATTTTATGTTTCATTATATGACTGGTATCACATGCCAGTTACAGTTCATAAAATATTAATTCATGGTGCTGATATCATAAAATATAATGGTATAATTCCAATAGGGCAGCTGTCAGAAGATGCCCAAGAGGCAAGCCATAAAGTATTTAGATACCAAAGACTGCACCATACTCGGAAACTATCTAGAGAAATATGTAATACTGACATAATACATTCGCTGTTATTACTATCTGATCCTATAANTCTCCTCAAGAGCATATCCAGTCATATAAAAAGACAAACTAAACACAAATATTTAATAGAAGTTAAAAATCTCCTTGTTTCAGACGATTCTAATATTACATTTGTTGAAGAATAATTAAATTAAAGGTATTTTATCACCCTATAAAATTGCATTTGTATGTATCTAACAGCTAACAGAATATTATGAAATCAAGCTCGATAAAATCGAATAAAGTGATTGTGTGCAATAAAAAATCAGGCGTTTACAAAAATATTTGTTTCATAATTTTAACACTCAATGAGAATAAATTTAGGGTATTGTTAGATTATGTCACTCTTTAAATATGGAAATAGACCAAAAGAAGTAAGTATTTGCTTTTAATTTAACAATAAATACAAGTTTTTCATCACTATATTTTGAGATTTTTTTTCACCTATATTAATTGCTATTTAATAAGTAAAACCTACCAAATTAGAAAGATAAACTTGTCAACCTTACACTGTAAAAATTTGAAGTTGCTACGTTGACGCAATCTCATTTTATTTTAAAAACATTGAGAAAGGAAGCGATGTCCAACGCCTTGTATGGGCTCGATCCAGTGTGCNCCCCACTGAAGTTTAGAGTCTAGAGATAAAACGTCGGATTCCTGATTTAGTTTTAAGTTTCGATTTCGTTCTCTTGTGAAAAGTTGATGCGTCGTTGCGAATTGCGTAAATCTTATTACCTACGCCTGAACAAAAATGTTTGTTTTTATGAATTTTTAAAAATAACAATTCATGTTTATAAAATTTTCTCTCTATAAACAAGCTGCAATGCAGCTTCTGCGGCTTCTGTTAGCTCCGAACAATGGCTTTGATTCAACCTCTCGCTGCATTGTTGCACCGCAGAAGACAATTGAATTGCTTAAATTATGCTTAGCAGCGTTATGAATGCGAGGCGAAGCTGAATAAGCGTGTGTCTAGGTTTGCCAGGTGTCCGGATTTAGCCGGACATGACATGTTTGACTTTTTAGGGACTTAGCTGTCCGGCCAAATATTATCTTGTCCGGCCTGTCCGGCTTTTGTTAGGCATTTTCTGTGGCTGCCCCGCCAGTCGAAAGCCGAGCCACAGAATAATATCGAGCACACATAGACATGGGATGTTGGCTACCCCGATTCGAAGATGACATTCCCCGATCCGAGTCATATTAAGTAAGGTATGCCCGACTTTTAGGGTTAAATGTCCGGCCAAATGAAGCACCGGGTCCGGCTTTTGTGTTTTTTTACCTGGCAAGGGCAACCCTGTGTGTGTCACTGTTATATTTTATGACGGCAATTTGAGAATTCCAGAAGTTTGATATGCAAAGCGCGTAGATCACAGCGCTGAATGGCTGTTTAATGACGTTTTTACAACCATATGCCTTCCATATGATAGACCCCCATAACCATAAGGACATGAAACCCATAATTAGGGGAGACCGAGGAGAGTTGTAACAGAGGAGAGTTGAGAAATTGACGATTTTTTGGAACTTATTAACTATCAGCGAGCTCGCAATAGCACGTATTTGTTAGCTCAAGACTTGAACTAAAAAGCGCGCACTGTTACGAGCTCGCTACTTAGTAGTTAAAACGTTCCAAAAAATCGTCGATGTCTCAACTCTCCTCTGTTACAACTCTCCTCGGTCTCCCCTACCTATGTTTATTGTGATTTTGATATGTTTTTATCCACATTGATCATTATACTAAAACATATTCTTCTTTTGCAGGTAAAATGCAACGATTCATTATTTTATTCTTCATAAGTAAGTAATACTTGTAAAAATATTGTTTAGAGTAAAACAATAATACTCAAATCGATAGACTAGTTTGGTCAATGAATAGATAATAGATTAAACCATTGAGCCATGGCTTTGCCCAAAGACCGTAGTTCCTGACAGTGGTTCACTGATTTTATTGATCGACCTTAAAATTGTTGAATTATCATCTATCTGATAATCGTAGGTAAAGTTAGGGGCTAGGGCTTGTTCCCACGAAGTCATCCCGTTTTTTGCAGGATCCCATAAAGAAGTACCTATACGTGTTTTAATAATGTTTATACGAATATCCTGTTTGCAGTGTCGCGCAAGAAACCGATCCGTTCGAATTTGTAATTTGAAAATACACATTGTTTGTTGACACGATAGTTCAGTTTTGCAGGATTATGCATTACTGGATCCCGCAAAGCTGGATTGCAGTGGGATCAAGCCAGTACTTATATCTCATGTGTTTTTACATTTTCTAGGACACCCTGTTTTTATTAACTAAAAGGTGTCCTGTAAACAACTCTCCATAGATCGCCAAAGAGCCAAGCAACAGCTAACCCGGAAAATAAATCAATGATCGACTACACGGATTCTGTCAAGGAATCATTCCTTGACTCAGAAAATAGAATACTTTATTACTCAGGGTACTAAATTAATTTACTCTTACTTCTCAAATGAACATTTTCTTTGACTTCCCTTATCATGGTTATTTATACCACATCCAAACGGATCCTAGTAATGACAGAGCGCTAATTAATTCACTTACTCGAACTCATTAGCATTACTACATAAAACCCGATGAAAGCACGTGGGAAAATAACTATGCAAATTTAATGCAAAAGTTGACCGTAATTTAAAAATTGCAGTTGACATTTATTGATAAATGCTTTATTTTGTCTGTGTGCAAGTCAGATGAAGAAAGTACGAGTCAAGTCAGATAAAAATTTAATCAAGCGACTTGGCCCACTTTTAGCTTGGTTCTCGGGCTAATTTTTAAATATTTTTTCTCCCGGTAACTGGGCCCAGTTACTAGTACAAGTAAATACTTACTCTAAGATTCTAGAGTAAATTTTTGTTGACTATTAATAAAACATTGAAGGTGGGTCCAGTACATACTCTTTCAAGGATTCTACGAAGAGATTATTATTAAATAAGGTCAGGATAGATAACACAATAGATTATTATTTGAACATTATTTGCCTTCAAAATACAAAACACAACATTTATTCTGTCTGCAAAATTTAATCAGAAATGCAAAAAGCGTACAAAGGTCATGGCTGCGAAATTGTTTTAATTATCGCACGGTTCGTGGCTCATGTAAATTCTGTTCGATTCGTGAGAGGTGCAGGATTAATATGCAACACTGTCCTTTGTATAAATTACATTAGCATCGGATTTAACCGTTAAATATTTATCACGTTTTAGTTGTAGCTAAAACGTTCCAACGAATAGTCTTATTCGAATAGACGTTCCAGTGTTTTTTAACCTGTGATCCGCGGACTCTTATGGGGCCACGAGCATATGTATGAAGATACGCATCTTTTTGGATCATTTAACAATCATACATAAATGCCACCAAAGGACGCGTGAATATTCATGATCGCTACGCACGCCGTGCTATCTTAGTACTCGTACTCGTAGTACTCGTAGACCATTGAGTGATACAGTCAATAATACTGTTAGATGCAATGAATGTTGCTGATATTGTATGTCCGTCCACAATATTACTTGAAGTTAGTCATAAGCCTAATGCAGCCTCCCCAACCTGGCCAGCGTGGGGAGAGTACGCCAAATCCACCATCCCTTTGGTAAATATTATTTATTTATTTATTTATTTATTTTGGCTTTTCAACAATAAGTACACTATTAAAATTTAAAATACATAACCAAAATTACATGTATAAGTGCCCCATCACTTAAAGAAAAGCACTGCATCTGCTAAATAATGTGTAACTACGCAAAAAATAAAAAATGCAAATGCTACCTACACTACAGTGCAATTTTATATTGCTACAGTATACAATAATACAGATGCATCGAACATTATAGAAGGTCGTGCAGTGGAGATCGGGTCATTTAGACCTGATGATGATGATAATTTAGGCCAGGCCTCCCACTAGGTGGACCGACGATCTGGTGAAGGTCGCGGGAGGTACCTGGATGCAAGTGGCGCAGGACCGGTCTTTGTGGAAATCCTTGGGGGAGGCCTTTGTCTTTCGGCTGAAACGAACAAACGAACGAACGAACGATGATGATAATTAATTAAACATAATACAAGTATGTATGAAGTCTTTAAAAATGCCTTACTATATTTTTTCCTGAACGAACAGTAAAATTAATTTAAATTTATCTTCCACTTGTATTGTATTCACGTTTGCTCCATCAAATGCAGCAAAAACTGGCGAACTGTCGCATTTGTGTAGGAATGCTAATCTACAGTCGACAAAGAAAACGCATACAATGTTTAACGTAACTGATACGGAACTTTATATCGACATAGAGATGTGTGAAAAACTTCTAGTGTAATGATTTAATACGTTTTGAGTAGGTATTTTTGTGTAAATATTTGGAATAAAACCATTTTTCTGTGTGGGTATTATACCTACTAGATAAATACTTAAAATATAACATTCCTTTTTCTTCTTCTTCTTTACCATCTTCTTCTTCTTCATACCAACTGTGGCGACATCTTTCGACGCCGCTGCCACTACATCCTACTTAATATTATAAATGCGAAAGTTTGGATGTCTGGATGTCAGGATGTCTGAACTTTACAGTATTNCAGTGTGCAGCGTGGGGAGAGTACGCCAAATCCACCATCCCTTTGGTAAATATTATAGAAGGTCGTGTAGTGGAGATCAGGTCATTTAGACCTGATGATGATGATAATTTAGGCCAGGCCTCCCACTAGGTGGACCGACGATCTGGTGAAGGTCGCGGGAGGTACCTGGATGCAAGTGGCGCAGGACCGGTCTTTGTGGAAATCCTTGGGGGAGGCCTTTGTCCAGCAGTGGACGTCTTTCGGCTGAAACGAACAAACGAACGAACGAACGATGATGATAATTAAACATAACA